AGAGACAGAAGAGGAAGGGGAGAGAGAGAGAGAGAGAGAGAGAGAGAGAGAGAGAGAGAGAGAGAGAGAGAGAGAGCGAGAGAGAGAGCGAGAGCGAGAGCGAGAGAGAGAGAGAGAGAGAGAGAGAGAGAGAGAGAGAGAGAGAGAGAGAGAGAGAGAGAGCGAGAGCGAGAGCGAGAGCGAGAGCGAGAGCGAGAGAGAGAGAGAGAGAGAGAGAGAGAGAGAGAGAGAGAGAGAGCGAGAGAGAGAGAGAGAGAGCGAGAGCGAGAGAGAGAGAGAGAGAGAGAGAGAGAGAGAGAGAGAGAGAGAGAGAGACTCACAGCACACTACACACGCGAATATAATACGTACAATACTTAGGAATTTATTTATTTACGTTGCTACGCGTCAAGTGCGGGAACGCTACTATACTGCCGTTTGCCAGGAAAATCTGTCGTCACAATTATGAAGACATGTACTGGTAGTGCTTATCCGTAACGTAGTGACCACAGGCACTTGGAACGTTTCAATAAAAAAATGTAGTAAATAAACACGAAATGTATTTACTACCAGTCTTAATGTTTCTCTACTCTCTTTCGACTATTATTGCCGATAAGTTCCTGTAAATGCCGTTCAAATGCTCCCCTGCAACACACAAGTACGCCGCACGCACGCCGTTGTGTACAAACAACAAGAATATATAATATATATATATATATATATATTGTTTGTGCACAGCGGCGTGCGTGCGGCGTACTTGTATGTTGCAGAGGAGCATTTTAACGGCATTTACAGGAAATTATCGGCAATAATAGGCGCAAGAGAGTAGAGAAACATTAAGACTTTGGTAGTAAATATACATTTCGTCTTTATTTACTATATTTTTTTATTAATACGTTCCACCTGTGGTAGTGACTGCAATTACGCTGCACGTGCGTTACGTGGTTCATTGTGGGTCTGTGAAGCCTTCCCGTGAATACAGCAAGGCGACGTAAGCAGAAAAATGCAACCCGATGCAGAATGTAGCTCACGGTTCACGTAATGCTTATTCTAATAGTTTCAAAGTCCGCCGACATCATTATTAGGTTAGCTCTGACGGTAATTAGCAGATGCCTGACCGGACGACGGCCTTGGGGCGATGTCTATGCGATTAGAATAATGATGTTAATCCTCTCGAGTCTTCCTAGATGAAATACTTTGGTAAAAGTAAGTTAAGACCGGCGGGCTGGTTGTATTAAAAAAATAATCAACCATCGAAGGCTGTAACTTTACGTGCTTTTCATTTTTGTAATCACCACAATCATCATCACCATCATCATCATCATCATCATCATCATCATCATCATCATCATCATCATCATCATCATCATCATCACCATCATCATCATCATCATCATCATCATCTTTATCACCGTTCACAGAGACCTTGCCGCAATGACGTCACGTTGCCAAGGGATCAGCGTCACACAGAGCAGCGACCGTCCGGCGAATATGCATCTGCATCATCGCTTCCCATTGGTCGATTATATGCGGGCATATAATATGTAGTCATGTATTCTTGATTTTTGTCCACTGTGGCCAACCATAGATATGAAATCCCGCGAGGGAACGCGCAATTTCTTCCGATCGCCGACGCAACTCATTTCGAAACTGCGCGGCACGCGTGACAAGAAGTTCCAACGTGCTGCATACCTAACGCCCCGCACGCTAACTACTTAGCGCTAACTAACATGGCGCATAATTCTTCATGCGAAATTATAATTTACAAAACGGAAGGCATGCCGGTGATAGCAGATAATAAGTTTGCAAGCACTATTACAAAGCGAGATGACAGAAGATAAACGCACAAGTGTACAATTATTCGTTTGATGCGAAGCAGAACGCGTCAACCGGTATACAATATCCCCGGCTGGCGATTTTAACTAAAAACCTCGAAACGCGAACTTGTTAGCTTTATATGTCGGTTGCGCAAAGTAAAGCGAACGAGTCACGTTTCGCGCCGCTCGGCACAGTATTTTGAATAAATCAAAGCGCGTCGCACAGTGAACACTATTTGCACGGGCTTATTTGATCAGCGGAAATTGCCATCTCTCGGTCCGCCACACACGACCAACACTAATAGCTCCGTGAGCACAGCCGCGGCTACCGAAGCGCACATATACTGAATCTCAGAACCGTATAGAAATCCTAGAAAAATAGAAACTCATTATTTCTATAGGAACACTTTTCTAATGACACGGAACAAATTATTTCCATAGTCACAGTGGATTCTTATCATGTGCGATTAAAACGAAAAAAAGAGAAAACGCAAAAGCAGTATTACATTCGCAACAAACAATAGTACTTTTCATGCAAACAGTAATATAACAAATGCAGACAAAATTTACATGAAATCGTCGCAAATAATTAACAGAATACAGTCTCGCGAAACATATATTAAATTTAAAGTGGATAAACCTCGCAACAAAAAGCCTACATATACCTACTGTGAGCATACTTGCAGTATGAAATCAAAACGAAATGTTCGCAAAAGTTTACACTTTTGGAAAGTTCGTCCGACACGGTTTCGGCGTATAGATACACACAAGTTGTTTTGGCGTGAAGATAATACAGTAGGCCTACGCTAACGCAAATAGTTCCTGGAACGAAACACGGCTGTAACAGATGTGTGAACACCGTTTAAACAACATGTGGTGCTACTTTCGTAAAAAGTACTTTCGTTTAGATTTTATGAAGAAATGCTGTAAAAGTAACAATACAAATAAATTGTAGTGAATTTTTACATGGACGAGCTCACAGTAGGTATATCTATGCATTTTTTCTGCGACAACATGTCGTTTTAAAGGTCCCATTTAATTAGCGAGGGTAAAAGGTTATAGCCAGACCGGTATAACCCAGCTAATAATTACCTCGAGGCTATTTTTCCGTATATTATATATTTGCAGTCTATTCACTGTTTAAGGCCAAGCTTTCACATAACAACTGCACGGTCCACGCCGTCTCAGATCATGTCATCATTAGCGGGTTATCCTGGCTATATAACATTATACATTCGACTTATCTGAACACGATACGTAAACATTTCGCATCTATTATAAAGAAAATCAGCGTAATTCGGGAGGTGCAGTGGTTGGGTGTGTATGGGGGGGGGGGGTCAGCGTTGCTACTAGCACCTAGAACAATATCTACACACATCTCACCGCCACCAAAAACACATGTATGCTATCTATAGTTCATGTGCGCGTGCGTGCGTGCAGGCGGGCGTGTTTATGCTGATATGCAGAATGGATATCATCGCTTCGCCACGCAGCATCTTCTCTCATTAATAGCTGCTCACTCGCTCTCCCGACTCCGTTCTCATCCATAGTTTTACACACACTCGCCCGCCCCTGACTCACACATAGCTTCCAACATTTCTGACCCTCCACTCCTTCGTTCATAGTTTCCGCTCCGTAGTAAACGTCAGGAAACTGAAGAAAACCAGCCTAGTCACATCTGGCTTCACTGTCGCCTAAATCGACCCCGGGGTGAAACCTGGACCTACCGACAAGCTGAGACGAAGGACGCATGCGAGCTACATCATTGTAGTGCCTATTCAGCCCACGGCTCCATTCCATAGCCTACACATAATTCGTCCCCTGTACACTCATGCGGACGGTCGTTAGCATCGCGATGGGCTCAGAAGCTCTGCTACTGAAGCGGTGCGTGTCCGATTAATAGCGCATGCCACAGCTACGACGCTGAGAGAGAGAGAGAGAGAGAGAGAGAGAGAGAGAGAGAGCGTGTGTGTACGTGTGTGTGCGTGTGTGTACGTGTGTGTGCGTGCGTGCGCGTCTCTGTCTTGTGTGTGTGTGTGTGTGTGTGTGTGTGTGTGTGATAGAGAGAGAGAGAGAAAGAAAGAGAGCCAGAGAGCGCGCGCGAGAGAGAGAGGGGAGAACGAGAGAGACAGAGCGAGACCGCGTGAGAGAGAGAGAGAGAGAGAGAGAGAGAGAGAAGATTTTTAACGTCACAAAATGAGAAGAAATAAGAGAAATCTCAGAGACTCATCATAGTCCCAACTATTCATGGTGTTTGTTACAACGATTTACGATGTTTCTGACAACAGCAAGGGGCTTCCCAGCTAGTGACGCGTCGACGTAGCGTGGAACATCCGCAATAACACAGGCCACTAGCGGGGGCACGACCCGGTACTTTATTTATTCATAGAATGCTCTTATGACGAAATTAGCGCAATCGGCCATGTACTTGCCGTGCGCACTCTAGGGCCCTAGAGACGGCGGACTGTCATCGCACACAGCACTAGTTTAATAGCGGCTTCCCAAAAGAGACATACACACACATGCTACATCTGGCGTCATCGGCTTCAAGCCGTATGAATATCATCATGGGTGATCTATGAGTTAGCCTTAAACATTTAGTGTCATATATAACCTTCCGGTCAGCGGACAGCAGGCGTGCTATACCATCGGGAAACGCTGATTCGGACGCTAATAAATCGACATTATTGGCATATCATCGGGGGCACGTTAAATTTTCATGTAAGCATATTTCCTGTGCTCCAGCTAACTATCAGATGTTCGTCTATTCTGCAATGCACATTCCGCGAAAGTAGTTTGCATTTCGAAACCAATAACGAAATTATCCTTACTAAAACACCTTAAAAATTATAAACATAAATATTAAAATATTAAAAACATTAATTAACCTGTGAAATCCTTCCGCGAATTCTTTTTTTTAAATCTCGTCTAGATGGCGTCAGCATGTCTGCCAGCGTTACATAACTGACTAATATTAGCTAAACGGTATCAGCATCCAACACGCGAACGGGCGAGTGCAGACAGGTGCTCACTACGTACGCCACTCATGTATCATTTCCAATTCCCAAATGCGCACGCGGGCCTGAATTCGGATTACATCGGCTTTACATCTAGGCAAGCCATCGAATTCTCATTTTGTCTCTTGATGTTCGAACACAGTAAGCTAAAGGCAACGCCTCCGAGCAAGCGCGGGTAAGCTACGGACACAATGTACTCGTAACATTCGCAATAAATGTCGCAGCCCGCGGACGGGAAATGCAGTGAAATGGTTCCGATGAAACTAAAAGCAAGCGAAATCAACAGCACACAAAGCCAGCCACCTGCAATTTAAAATCGCTAACTGCGCGTGCAGCTATACGAGTTTGACGAACCACAGGAAATGCACCCGATTTAACCGCGTAGCATTTTTCCATTTACCAATATACATGTTTTATGAGAACTGCGCGGACGACAGAAAATACGAGTAAACATGTAAATTATTCAACAAATAACATCGTTTACAGAGCCACGCGCGATGAACTGATATTTAGCTTACTAACGGTGTTGCATACCCGGTTGCATGCACGGAGAACCCACCAGCACCATCAGAAGGTTGTATGCATTCAACTTCGGAGATAGCCGAGTTCGTGCGTGACGTACACTGACGGCACGCGGTTACTCTGTTTCATAGAGACATATGCCCACCGGAGAATATGAACTGATCACGCCGGATCGTATCGTACCGACCCCTAGCGGCAGAAGATGACAACAACGCGCGCACGGAAACTTTTGGCCGCAGGCATCCTAACCATCTCCACCCATATAACCTCACCGACAAGCAATAAACAAACCACGACCAACCGCAGTTTCTTCCTTGTTGCATATACATCCACTGGAACTATAATACAACGTACTCAAACTATAATACAACTGCCGCATGCGCAGGCCACTCATCCTTCCTGTCGATGATGACGCGATACGTGACGGACCAGCACCGACACAACGCGGGCTCCTTCCAGTGAACAGACAAATATTCGACTGCTGCTGTACAGCTTAGCATCGCAGGTGCGGTGGGAAGGCTGATCATGAGGCGGAGCGGGAGCGTTCAAGAGATCGGGTAGGTGTGCGGCATGTCTTTGGCGAGAGCCACGGTCAACTTACCGTAGCCCATGCCCTGTAGAAAGAGCACGAGGGCTTCGCACACCTTCGCTGGTTGCTCCTCCAGGACTAAGCCGCCGCAGTCAGACAGCTGAAACAATAGAATTAAAGGCCGTAAGGAATTACACTCCGCGACGACTATACAACACGCAGACGCCCTTACGGAAATATCATATAAGAAATCCCTAAAAATACTCGATCTCTTCTACCAACACCTCGCTCCCTGACGCAGTCTCTTTACGCTCCAAATCAACGCTCTGGTTAGAGAGATTATGGGAGTGGGGTCATGAGGGTGATGGGGATGGTGGAGGCGTAGTGTTAATTGACGATTGGGGATAGTGGGGTGGTAGCTCTTAGAGAAGTAGTGGATGTAGTGTTTGTGTTGGCCTGGTGTTTTGCCTGGTTTGGTATAGCAATGGTTACATGATAAGCGACGCACCTAATATTTGGTGACGATTCAAAGATTAACCTAAAATCCAACCTTTCATTATCATCCCACCATACTATAGAGCTGGCCGATAACAATTTTGATTACGCTATCTTTTCGTGAAGGAAGCAACGGCATTCGCCGTGGAAAGTCTATACGTCACTAACTTATCTTTGCCATATAGCTTCAACAACATTTTTCGCAAACTGATCGAGCGAGTTGCAAAATTTCGGCATCGATTCTTGCGTGGGTGCAGTGCTGGCCTAGTAGCGCTGCGTAGAATTTAAATTATGCAGAATCTCAGGACACGTACAATAACAGACGAGTACAAAGGAATATCTCTCTACTATTTTCAGCGTTGGAAATAGCAAGCCATCTCCCAGTCAGGAACTGGCGGGTATTTGAGCAAAACTGGAATATTTTTATCGATTTTTACTACCGGTTATATAGTATGAGATTCTAGTATTACAAGAGTTGAGCAAGTGTTATCGATTCATCTTTAAAGCTGGGTTTACACTATCGATTTTTGTCAGCAAATCGTGCCGATTTCAAGCGACTCCAACTTGCGGCGACTAAGAGTCTACACGCCCGGCGTTCACACCTAAACAAAAAAATCGCGGTATTTAGCGTTCACTACGCAGGCAAAAATACCAGCCCAAGAAAATCACGGTATCTGAACCAGATCCGTATTTCATGTAAATACGAAAGTCTTCCATACCCACAAATAATTGCGCGTGCGCTTGAGAAACCGGATTTTTGGACCAGCCGCACGCATTTCTTCGTGTGAACCGCTAAATACCCGATCTGAAAGGCGCGCGAGTTAATAGATTGGTCCCGCGCTCCGACAGTTCCAAGTAACGGCGAGTGGAACGATCGAGCGGCCGGAAACAGCAGTCTAGCGTAATTTAATCGGCAGTTGGTGGCGATTGCATTGTGTATTCGCAGTGTTCGCCGTGATGTTTAAAGCAGCTCGCCAGCTCCGCAATACCTGTATTCGGGAGGCCCGAATCAGCGTGTGAACAGCTTCGGCCGCGTATCTGTGTCTCAGAACGGTATCGCAATCCGGTATTCAGAAATACGAGTTTACTCGGTGAACGAGGCTTACGTATTTATCGGCAAGTTGGTGCGCCATTGCAGTGTTTATTTCCGCCAAATTGTCGCATGATTGTTAACAAGCACGCTCGCAGCTCGCAAAATACAACCGGTATTCTGAGCCCGCGACCAGCGTTGAACGCTCGCCGCCGTATATTTCATGCAGATTCGTAACATTGTCGCAAATACCGTATTTCATGAATACGAGGTCTCGTGTGAACGAGGCTTATTATCGTTAGATGCAGTTGGCTGAGTCCACGGCACGGGGTCTTTGGCCTGGCATTACCATGCCATCTGATGCTGGAAATCCACCCTTGCGCCCAAACCTGAATGAATGTCGTATATCACGAACTTCCTCCCAGCTGTATAGAATAATACACTTAGCGTCTCCGGTCGCGTCGGGCCAGTAGTCAGACTTAAAAGATCATCGATACCAAACATATTTATCTTTTTCCTTACACGACGCGGGTGACGTTCGTCGAGACGTCGCGTGTCCGCGGCTCCTGCAGTGCTAAAGTTGCGCGCGTTTTGCGGCGAGGAGCGAGTTATATTTGGTAAAACTGAAACTGCCGTTGTCTCAGAGATGCGTGACTGCTCGCGGCAGAGAGAGAACCGGTTGGGATAGATCTCCAAGTTCCATCGTAAGTCACTGGGCAACTAGTAACAAACTAGAAGAAACGAGAGATAGCAAACTCGCCAGCTTTGTACTGGCCCGGCATGCATAGCTGGAAGGCGATAGCCGAGCGGGAGCGAAAGAACGCGGCTTTTATGAAATCATAACACTGGGGTAGCGCACCGAGGTCAGCCCCCTCCCCCCAGCGCGCTAATACGCATACGCGAGTTAGTCGGCTTTTGATGCAGATGCATATTCGCCGGACGGTCAGCTGCTCTGTGTGACCTGATCCCTTGCAACGTGACGTCATGGAGGGGTGGTGGGGCGGCAAAGGTCTCTGTCGAACGGTGATAAAAGATGATTATATGATGAGATGAGATGCGAATATGATATGAATGATGATGATGATGATGATGATGATGAATAGAATGAGATACATAATAACTAGAGATATGATGTATATGATTTGTGGTGATACAAAAATGAAAGACACGTAAAGTGTACAGCCTCGATGTTTGATTATTTTTAATACAAGCCAGCCGCCGTCCCTACCTACTTTACCCAAACGTATTTCCATCTATGAAGACATCAAGAAGGAAATTAACATCATATTCCTAATGCGCATAGACATCCCCCAAGGCCGTCGTCCGGCAGCGCATCTCAAAACCGTCCAGAGCTAACCAAATAATATGTCGGCGGACTTTGGAAACTATAGAATAAGCATTACGTGAACCGTGAGCTAACATTCGATCGGTTGCATTTCCTGCGCTTACGTGCGCTGCTGTAGTCACTATGAAGGCTTCACAGACCCACAATAACCACGTAACGCACGTTCAGCGAATTGCAGTCCACTACCACAGGTGAACCGTAATAAAAAAAATATAGAAAAAGACGAAATGTAATACTTACTCACCGAAAAGCATTAATTTTCTCCACTCTCTGCCGCCTATTACTTGCCGATAATTTGACCCTGTAAATGCGTAAAAATGCTCCTCGCAACATACAAGTAGGCCAGCACGCCACAGCCCGCTGTGGCATCAAACAATATATATATATATAATAGTATATATATTCTCGTTGGAGTACACAAGGCGTGCGTGCGCGTAACTGGGTTTGCAGGGAGCATTGAAGCGCATTTACAGAAACTTATCGCATATAAATCGAAAGAGAGTAGAGAACATAAAACGGATAAATACATTTCGGTTTATTTACACCATTTAATTGAAACGTTCCAAGTCCTGGGTCACCATACGTTACGGATCAACACTACAGTAACAGTTGTCTCATAATGTGACGAACAGATTTCCTGGTAAAAGGAAAATATAAAAGGTAGCGTTCCGCTACTTGACGCCGTACAACGTAAATAATAAATTCCCTAACTATTTACTATAAATATCGCGTGTGTAGTGTGCGGTGAGTCTCTCTCTCCCTCTCGTCATCTCTGTCTCTCTCTCTCTCACTCATCTCTCTCCTCTCTCTCTCTCTCTCCTCTCTCTCATCGCTCTCGCTCTCGCTCAGCTCTCAACTCTCTCTCTCTCTCTCTCTCTCTCGCCTCTCTCTCTCTCTCTCTCTCTCTCTCCTCTCCTCCTCTCCTCTCCTCATCTCTCTTCGCTCTCGCTCTCCGCTCTCGCTCTCTCTCTCTCCTCTCTCTCTCTCCTCTCTCTCTCTCTGCTCTTCTCGCCCTCTCTCTCACACCCCCACACACACACACACCACACAGCAGTCACCGAGACACTACA